TAAAATGAATGAATACTGAGCTCAATTTCAATTGTTTTCATGATCATTAATACTATTGTTAATATCATCATTATTACTATTTTACCGTAATTACAATTATCATCATATTACTTTTATTATCATTACTATTATTGTTATCACCATCATTATTCTAATTATCATTATTGTTATTGCTATTAATAATAATAATAATAATAATAATAATAATAATAATAATAGAGAGAGAGAGAGAGAGACAGAGAGAGAGAGAGAGAGAGAGAGTGAGAGAGAGAGAGAGAGAGAGAGAGAGAGAGAGAGAGAGAGAGAGAGAGAGAGAGAGAGAGAGAAAAGACAATGAGAGAGAAAGAAAAATAGTGACAGAGAGAGAAAGAAAAATAAAGAGGCACAGAGAGAGAAATATAGAGAACAAAAGAGAGAGAGATCAAGAAAGGGAGAAAGAGAACCAGAAAGCAGGAAGGAGAGAGAGAAAGAGAGAGAAAGAGAGGGAGAAAGAGAAAGAGAAAGAGAAAGTGAGAGAGAAAGAGAAAGAGAGAGAGAAAGAGAGAGGATGAAAGAGAGAGAGAAAGAGAGAGAGAAAGAGCAAAAGAAAACCAGAAAGAGAGAGAGATAAATAAATAAATAAAGAGAGAGAGAAAGAGAAACAGAAAGAGAGAGAGAAAGAGAGAGAGAGAGATAGAGAAAAAGAGAGAGAGAAAGAGATAGAGAAAAAGAGATAGAGCAAGAGAGAGAGAAAGAGAGATAGAAAGAGATAGAGAAAAAGAGACAGAGAAAGAGAAAGAGAAAGAAAGAGAAATAGAGAAAGAAAGAGAGAAAGAGAGAGAAAGAGAGAGAGAAAAAGATAGAGAAATAGAAAGAGAGAGAAAGAGAGAAAGAAAGAGAGAAAGAGAGAGAGAAAAAGACAGAGAAAGAGAGAGAGAAAGAGAGAGAGAGAGAGAGAAGAGAGAGAGAAAGAGAGAGAAAAGAGATACAGAAAGAGCAAAGAAAGATAGAGAGAGAAAGAAGAGAGAGAAAGAGAGCGAGAGAAAAGAGAGAGAGAAAGAGAGCGAGAGAAAAGAGAGAGAGAAAGAAAGAGAGAAAGAAAACCAGAAAGAGAGAGAGAGAAAGAAAACCAGAAAGATAGAGAGAGAAAGAAAGAGAGAAAGAAAAGCAGAAAGAGAGAGAGAGAAAGAAAGAGAGAAAGAAAAGCAGAAAGAGAGAGAGAGAAAGAAAGAGAGAAAGAAAACCAGAAAGATAGAGAGAGAAAGAGAGAGAGAAAAAGACAGAGAAAGAGAGAGAGAAAGAGAGAGAGAAAGAGAGAGAGAGAAAGGAGAGAGAGAAAGAGATAGAGAAAAAGAGACAGAGAAAGAGAAAGAGAAAGAAAGAGAAGAAAGAGAGAGAGAAAGAGAGCGAGAGAAAAGAGAGAGAGAAAGAGAAGAGAGAGAGAAAGGAGAGAGAAAGAAAGAGAGAAGAAAACCAGAAAGAGAGAGAGAGACAGAAAGCGAGAAAGAAAACCAGAAAGAGAGAGAGATAAAGAAAGCGAGAAAGAAAACCAGAAAGAGAGAGAGATAAAGAAAGCGAGAAAAAAACCCAGAAAGAGAGAGAGAGAAAGAAAGAGAGAAAGAAAACCAGAAAGAGAGAGAGAGAAAGAAAACCAGAAAGAGAGAGAGAAAGAAAACCAGAAAGAGAGAGAGAGAAAGAAAGTGAGAAAGAAAATCAGAAAGAGAGAGAGAGAAAGAAAGAGAGAAAGAAAACCAGAAAGAGAGAGAGAGAAAGAAAGAGAGAAAGAAAACCAGAAAGAGAGAGAGAGAAAGAAAGTGAGAAAGAAAACCAGAAAGAGAGAGAGAGAAAGAAAGAGAGAAAGAAAACCAGAAAGAGAGAGAGAGAAAGAAAGAGAGAAAGAAAACCAGAAAGAGAGAGAGAGAAAGAAAGAGAGAAAGAAAACCAGAAAGAGAGAGAGAGAAAGAAAGAGAGAAAGAAAAACCAGAAAGAGAGAGAGAGAAAGAAAGAGAGAAAGAAAACCAGAAAGAGAGAGAGAGAAAGAAAGAGAGAAAGAGAGAGAGAAAGAGAGAGAGAAAGAGAGAGAACTGGAGACAATTCTAGCCGATCCAAACTTTTCCAGGGCTGAGAGTCGACTAAGAATCCAGGAGAGATACCTCTAAACTGTTTAAGATATTGAAGTTCACTCGGGAATTGAGATCACAAATGGCGCTGAGGTGAGGTGACGTGAGTGAGGTGAGGTGAGGTGAAGAAAGTGAAGTGAGTGAGTGAGGAGAGGGAACGTGATGTGATGTGAGTGAGTGAGTGAGGTGAGGTGACGTGAGTGAGGTGAGGTGAGGTGAAGAAAGTGAAGTGAGTGAGTGAGGAGAGGGAACGTGATGTGATGTGAGTGAGTGAGTGAGGTGAGGTGACGTGAGTGAAGTGTGTGAGTGAGGTGAGGTGAGGGAAGGTAATGTGAAGGAAGTGTGTGAGTGAGGTGAGGTGAGGGAAGGTGATGTGAGGGAAGTGAGTGAGTGAGGTGAGGGAAGGTGAAGTGATTGAAGTGAGTGAGTGAGGTGAGGGAAGGTGAAGTGATTGAAGTGAGGTGAGGTGAGGAGAGGGAAGTGAGGTGAGGTGACGTGAGTGAGTGAGGGGAAGGTGACGTGAGTGAAGTGAGTGAGTGATGTGAGGGAAAGTGAGGAGAGGGAAGGTGATGTGGGTGAAGTGAGTGAGTGAGGTGAGGGAAGTGAGGGGAAGGAAGTGGAGTGAGGGAAGTGCGGTGACTGAGTGAGGAGAGTGAAGTGAGTGAGTGAAGATGAGTGACTGAGATGAGGTGAGTGAAGTGAGGTGAGGGGAATGAGATGAAGTGACGTGAGTGAAGAAAGGAAAGGAAGATGAGTGAGTGAGGTGAAGATGACGTGAGTGAAGTGAGGGCAGTCAGGTGAAGTGAGTGAGTGAGTGAGGTGAGGGGAATGAAATGAGTGAAATGAGGGGAGGGAGGTGAGGAAGGAACGTGAGTGAGTGAGGTAAAAGAGCGAGTGAGTGAATAAGTAAGTGTGTAAGTGAGTGAGTGAGCGAATGAGTGAATATGTAAATGAGGGTGTGAGTAAGTGAGTAAGTGAGTGAAGATCAACAAAGTGAATGAAGAAGGTAAGTGAGTAAGCCAGTGTTTGCGAGAGTGAGTTGACGAGTGAATTATGAGGAAGTTGAAGACAAACGGAACGAGTAAATGAGTAAATAGCTTGGTGTTTTCTTGACAGAGAGATAATAGATAGATGAATAGATAAAGGAAGAGAGGAAGAGACGAAGAAGAAAATAAAAGGGAAAGAGAAGTGTAATTAGAAAAAGCTTTAGACAGATAGAAAGTTTTTGTGTTTGAGAGAGAGGAAGAAAGAGAGAGAGGGAATGATATATATATATATATATATATATATATATATATATATATATATATATATATATATATATATATATATATATAGAGAGAGAGAGAGAGAGAGAGAGAGAGAGAGAGAGAGAGAGAGAGAGAGAGAGAGATAAATAGATAGGTAGATGGATGGAGAGAGGTAGATAGATAGATGGACGGAGAGAGAGAGAGAGAGATAGATAGATAGACATATAGATAGATAGATAAATAGACATATAGATAGATAGATAGACAGATAGATAGATAGATAGATAAATAGATAGATAGATAAATAGAGAGAGAGAGAGAGAGGCGCAACTAAATCAGGCGCAACTAAAGCAAACAAGAGAAACAAAAAAAGCAAGCAGAGCAAAATGAACAGAAGCAAATCAAGCAAAGGAAAAATAAATCAAAGGTAATGAACGTAAAAACAAACAAACAAGCGAAATAAACAAAGGAAAAAATAACACAGGCAAAGCAGGTAAAATAAAAGCAGAAAAAGGGAAAGAATCAGGCAAAAATAAGCAAGCAAAAATAATCAAAGGGAAAAGGCAAACAAAGAAAAAAATAAACAAAAACATGCAAGCAAACAGAGGAAATAAGCAAGCAAAAAAAGCAAGCAAAGGAAAAAACAAAGAAAAGGTAGAATCAAGTATCAGGATGCAAGCAAACAGAGGGAATAAGCAAGCAAGATTAAGCAAATGGGAAAAAGCAAAAACAAACAAGCAAAGAGAGAAAAGTAAGTAATACAAAAAATCAACAAGAGCAAAGTAAACATAACTAAAGCAAGCAAGTGTTAAAAAACAACAACAACCAATCAAAACCAAGCAAATTAAATACAAACAAACAGACAAAAAATACCCACACCTTAAATCAAGCAACAATAAAAATCAACCCCCGCCAAAACAAACAAAAAAACAAAAAAAAGACAACGAAAGCAAGCAAAGGGTAAGCAAGTAAGCAAAGGAAATGCCCCCCCCCCCCCCAACCACACACAGCCCTCCACAATTACCCTACTCCACCCCCCCCCCCCTCCCCCTCCAAGATAACGCAAAGGACCGTCACCCTTAAGGTAGACACGCAACCCGGAAGAAGTGTGTGTTGTTCTGTCGTCCACGTCTGTCTTGTCTGGTAATTATTGTGTGTTTTTTGTTGTTGTTTTGTCTCCTTTTTTCGTATATTGAGATTCGTGTTTTTGTTGTTGTTTGGTTTGGTTTGGTTTGGTTTGGTTTGCTGTCTTTGGTTGTTTGTGTTTGTGTGTGTTTGTGAGAGAGGTTGGTGAGGATTTCCACGAGGAAGTTGTAAACGCGGGGATACGAGTGTTATTTTACCATTTAAGGATATTTCTAGATAGTTTAGTGTTCTTTTATGGATGTATATCTATCCTTTATTTCCATTATTTTAGGCTCGTTTGTTCTTCTCGGTTTCTTTCGACGAAGGGGGGGGAGGAGGAGGAGGAGGAGGAGGAGGAGGAGGAGGAGCGTCGGAGCGAAGAGGAGGCTTCCATATCTCCGGCGACATTCCTCTCGGCGAATCTTGGAACCTCGAAAAGGGATTCAAAGTTGGCGGTCGCGTCGCCGGGATTGATCGCGGCGGCAGCACGGGTAGTGGGGAGCGGCGGAGCGGGGAGTGGGGAGCA